ATGATAGCACCTGAAAAGTATATATGACATCAGCAGGTTCATAAAATAACCCCAGAACTGCCTATGTATGTCATTGAATTAATTGAATTCAATGTCGCGATGGAGTTGTTTTCTATACATGTCGTGCTGTCTTGTTTTGTTGGTTTGTGTTTTAACGCCGCGCTCAGCAATATTTCTATGTGAAGGTAGTCTGTATTAAATCATGTCTGACCAGTGTTTGGCATCGATCTACACCATCGAATACGGTGACATTGCACCCGTGATGATCCGAGTTAGAACTGGTCTCCTGCAACCCACGATTGTCGTAAGAGGCGACTAACGGGATCGGTTGTCGTAAGAGGCGACTAACGGGATCGGGTGCTCGATGGCTTGGTTGACACGTCATCGTATCCCAATTTCGTCGATGCTCATGATGATAATCACTGGAATGTCTGGTCCAGACTCGATAATTTACAGACCGCCGTCAAATAGCTGGAATATTTCCAAGTGCGGCGTTACACAAACTAACAAACAAAACTACCAAATATGATATTGTGAAAGATTAAAAGTAGCATGTACCTTCGAAGGTACACCACACGTTTCAACACCCCTTGACTTCAAGGGACAAAGACTTCTTGTAAATAATGATAAGGTGGACTAAGTTTGTTAAAGGGATTTCTACCACTGCAACCAGTACTTACCATACGACTAGCCTCTCGAAGATGTATTTCTGTTCTTTTAAATTTCTATAATCTATTTCGCAGTATTTCAGCAAAAAAGCATAAACGGAAAATGCATATGAAGCCAAACAAGAACCATATATACATATATAGTCGATGTACTCCATTTTCTGAATGCACAAGATTCCAAAACGAATCCTTCAAAATAATCCATTCATCCCAGAACAAAGGAGCACAACCGCTGTAGGATATCATAGCATGACGTCGAGAAGAACATCCGGGCATGCTCGTGTCCTCAACAGCCGTAGTATCCATGGTAACGAAGGAAACAACATGGTGGCATTCAAATGCTTGAACGAAACGCAACAATACAGGCATTCAAAGTACAATCCAGTATTATTCGAAGTAGAATACAGTTGTAAATGGTGGCATTCGTGAGGAGAGTAAGAGAAAGAAAAACATATATGTTGTTTCATATCAGAAACACCAAAATTGGTCAAATTGTGCTTGGTTTTTATTTTGGAGAATAATGCAAACAGCAATTATTTGGATCAAATCATAGAGAAACAGTGTTGCCACCAAGCGCTTCTTTTTATTTCTGGTGTTAAATGTGTTTTTTTTCTGAAGATATTTTTCCATGAAATGTGTGTTAATTTACCGTATATATACAAAAACATGAACGTAAGCACATGGATGGGTTTACGACAATTGGGTAGGGATAACATACTATGTAATAAGATAGACTGTCACATAACGTTGTTAACTTCAGTCAAGATACAAGTGTAGTGCTTAACGCAAACACGTGCATGTTTGACTGTGCTTGACGTTAAACGTTAATCCGAAATGTCAATAAACGGGTTAGAATGCACCAGTTAAAACCGATAGATTCGATGCATGATCATACAATGCACGCCTGTATTGTTCAATAATTGGCCAGGTCAGCCATAAAAGTCAACTGACTTCATGCACTTCAAGACAACAAGGTAGCTCAAGAATTTCTCGTTTCACTTCATTTCGAAACGAGATTTATCTATGACAAGAGGTTGAGCAATGAAATGAGAATATGCTGAAATATGTGCTCGCGCAGTAAACAAACAGAACGAAAGAAGAATGCAAAATAACAGTACATGCAATGCAAAAGAATAAGGATAATTGTCAGTCAGAATTAAAGTTAGATTGTTAACATAACTTGTCTTCAGGAAGGGATGTTTGAATGATAAGTTGTGAATGTGTCTGGAATACTGCACTTTTGAACAAACCAATTTTCCTTGAAATTTACTGTTTGTAATGGATTAAATGACCCAAGGTTTTGTATATTTTGGCCTACTCCGTCATACCACAAGCCTCCTGCCGGCCTACGACAATCCAGGGCCTAGATTTTCGAATCTCTCTTAGCGCTAAGATAGTCGTAAGTGCTATGCATTAACATTAACTTACGACTGTCTTAGCGCTAAGAGAGCTTCGAAAATCAATGCCCAGGAGACACTTTCACAAAACTATCTTAGCTCTAGGACAGTCTTAAGTCTGTGTTAGAGTATGGGACTTACGATCAGCGTGGCCCTAAGATCGCTTGGCCAGGTCAAGACGATGTAATTAGTGTCATGAAGTTACCACTTTCACTTTCACTGGCTCTCTCTGGTCAATAAACGCCTTCCCAATAAATCACCAGACAAAAAGAAAACAAAAACTGATTGGTTTCCGTATTTGTTTTTTTAGTTGTTTGTTTAATCTGATAAACAAGGAAAAACTAACGATAGGTGAATTTCTGTCGATGTGAAAACAAACTTCCTAATGAAAAAAAACTTGAATAGTTCATCGGTCAATAAATGATTCTCTGTATACCTCAGCGACGCCAATCTCCTCCACTGTATGTCTGAGTGATACTAAACTACCTCACTCACTCTAGGTTTGTTTGATGCTCTCCAACGGAAACAAGAGAGTATAACTATAAATAGGTCGCCTACCGAAGGCTCGGTTAAACCATATGTTTTTTACTGTCTGTATTTCGTTTTAATTCGAAAGTCACATTCGGCTGATGACAATAAATGTTTATTCAAGACTATACAATCTCAAGACACATTTTAGCTTATTGTAAACTTCTCATGTTGCTTTGAAGTTCTGCAATAAAGTCCGTTTTAATGTTGTTATAAAGTCCGTTTTAGTGTCGCTGCGAAGTCCGTTTTAGTGTTGCTACGAAGTCCATTTTAGTGTTGCTACGAAGTCCGTTTTAGTGTTGCTATGAAGTCCGTTTTAGTGTTGCTATGAAGTCAATTTTGGTGTTGTTATATTAAAAACGTCCGAAACGTGAATGTGTAGAATTTATAGTTTTTAAAAGCTTCAATAAGTTTCTAAATTATGCAAATCCTACTGGCCATGATCATACCTTGTACTTTCTTGTTTTTTAGACCTAAAAGTACTTGCTGTTCAGATCTGAATGTATTGAGTCATTCCGTTTACCCTCTGGACTTTCCCTCACCTCTAATGGTGTAGATACAGCCAATACCCATACACCGAGATGATGCTTAACATCATGCAGTTACAACATGGAACGACAACCAGCATGCGAAGAACTTGAAATGAAGAACAACAGGCACGGGCAAAACAAGATAGATGAGTGTTGACGCAGAACATGCAGAACAGTTTCAGAACATGAGTGGTAAAGTTGAGGAGGTTCTACTACATCTGTGCATTTGATTAACACAGATTTGTGAACGTTAACACAAACTAAAACGATTTTTTAATGTCTCAGTACATTGCATTTGATCAATGCCTAATTGTAGATGTTTGTAAGACAAAGAATACATTAGTTCTACGCTACGCATGTCTGTTTATCACATATGCGCTGAAAACGAGCGATCACAGCTGCAAAGTCATTAAATCAGCGCAAGTTGAGTCCATCTATAAGACATACTATTTGAAATAGTCTTGAAAGTGTCATACATATGTTCCTACTACATACTTTGCTCAAACAATTGTCAAAGAAAATCCCATACAAGGTGTACACACTCGAACAAGCCATATAGAAATATGTGCGATGGTATCAGAGGAAGGTGTATATTTTGTTGACATTCGCCATAAACGGGCGATGAAGAACGGAGTTAAACGATAAGTATTTGGCCGCTAGCTTTAGTATGCAGTTTGTAACACCTGTATAAGAACCCATGGTACAACATATAACCAAGACTCATACTCAAATCTCAGACACTTTAAACGTCAAATATTCCAGGCCAAACGCAAAACTCAAATGTGAAAGGTTAAATAATAAACCTCAAATATAAAAGCCCAAACCTTAAACATCAGATATAACAGCCATATCCTGAAACCTCAAATATAATAGCCCAAGCCATAAACGTCCAATATGACAGGTCAAATTGTGAACGTCAAATATAACAGGCTAAACTTTAACTTCAACAACCCAAGCCTCAAACGTAAACTATAACAGCCCGAACTATAAGCGTCGAATAAAACAGGTCCAATGTCAACCTCAACTGTATCAGACCAAACATAACACATCAAACATAACAGCCAACATCTTAAACGTCCACGATAACAACCCAAAATATTATCTATCTGTGCAAGCTATAAACATTCAACATATCAGTCCAAATTTCAATTCAAATATAAAGGCACAGAGCTCAAACATTCCTGGAAGACGTACCAAGAAAACTCCAGTTATAACAATTTTTATATGTTTCCAAAACGCTTAATTCAAGGCACAACAAATAGTCCCCAGTAGACAATAGGCTGCCCCATCTGGTAACCGAACAATCGAATATAAAACCACCATATGATAACCAAATAATTTCTTTAGATTTGCATGAGTAAACCTCGCAACTATTTGCGGTTTATTTTGGTTTTAGTCGAAGATGGACCATTGATGGCCATTACATTGTTGACCATTACATAGATGACCATTACATTGCTGACCATTACATTGTTGACCATTATGACCACTACATTGTTGACCACTACATTGTTGACCATTACATTGTTGACCATTACATTGTTGACCATTACATAGATGACCATTACATTGTTGACCATTACATTGATGACCATTACATTGTTGACCATTACATTGATGACCATTACATTGTTGACCATTACATTGTTGACCATTACATTGTTGACCAATACATGACCATTACATTGTTGACCATTACATTGTTGACATGTACATTGTTGACTATTACATTCATGACCATTTGATTATTGACCACTACATTGGTGACCATGACCATTACATTACATTTGTTTGCCAACGCACAGCTCTACCACGGATTGCTAGATTGTGTACACCAGAGTACGAAACAAAGTCAACGAGAACCTTGGACTACCCACCTGCTTAAAAGGCGTCTGAGACTCATTGAACTTCAGCTTGAGGGTCTTGATTCTTGGTGGACGCATATCATCTGGTGTAAGTTGAACCACTTTCTGCAGCAATCTGTAACATATGGTGGATTGTATTAAAGCAAAAATCATTGGAGGAACATTTCAGAATGCATGAAGAAATGATGTCCTCACTTTCAGTCTGATGTTTATAAATCAATTATAAACTTTAGCCAAAATAGTGAGGCATCTTTAACTTAGGGCATTTAACTTAAACCTGTGCAAAAATTCCAAAGTTGTAATGTCCGTAGGAAAACGCGGTTCTTTGGTCTGAGTTGGACCAAGTCCGCTTTGGACCAATTATTTTGGGTTTTCACTGGGACCAAGGATCATAATCAGGACGAATCCGGATCCTGGTTATAATGTCCATTATGCTGCACGCGCTTAGAGCATGCCAATGCGGCTTGAAGTGGCCTTATTATTATCATCATCATTATTATTATCTGGGGTCAGACGGGGTTTGGTGAGACGCTTGTGGTGACCTACTTGACAAGCAACACCCCGCTCCTCAGTGTTTTCTCAACCTGCATGGCACCAGCTCCAATTTCCTCTCCAATGAGGGCTTTGAACCAGTTCCTCACTTCCAGTTCCGCACCACTGTCATACTTGGCAGCCACCTGAACGACAAAGGCACCACATTGATGAAATGTGACAAAAATCCCTTTCTATAATCATAATAATCATATATGCATAGTGCTAAAAATATGCATGAATTTACTGTTTATGAATCATCTTCAAAAAGAGATGATTGAAAAGGTGTACTCATCCTTCCCCCAAAGTGGAACCCACCACAAACACACGAAAAAGCAAGTCAAAATTGAGTTAAACAAATTCGGGACCACTCTACAATATAACATGGTACTGCCATAATACACATTGTATACGGAATTCAACCCTGTCTGTGTTCATTTATTTGAACAGTGTTATTAATATATTTTACAAATATTTCTTACCAATATAACCACACATCAAACCCACTACCATGACTGTTTATCAAAACGTGCTAATTTTTAGCCAACTGAAATGATAAAAACCTAAAAAACACACCTCAAAACCAACAAATACCCAGGTATAAAAATATTTAGGAGGGATAAAATTTATGGCTGCCAGACCAGATGCTCTGCGCACGTGTGATGTCAGCTTGCATGTACCGGCGCGTGCCTATATTTCACGCCAGGCGTGCGTGTTAAGTTACAATGGGCGTCACGTTGCGACCTGAGCGGTTCTGGAGGAGCTATAATGAACGATGCATACTCTTAAAAAAATAGGGGAACTTCATTTCAAATTTCCGATTGAAGATATACAACGTTAACATTGGACATATATATATCGGAGTAAGTCAATGTTGATATGATAATAATGAATGTTTTGAAAGTGCACTTCCTTATGACCATAGTTGTTTGTACAAAAAACGCTCTTAAAGGATGATGGGTGTATGACGTGAAATTTGCATGTGTACGATTTTCATTTTCAAACACAAAAAACCTGGCTAGAAACACACTAAAACATCTGTGTGATGCATGGTGATTTTCAAAATTAATGGTCTACAGTGATTTATCGACCTTCTGCGTCGTGCACGTGTATCCCATGCGTTTAGGGGTGGTGATAAAGAGAAATTGTGGTGCGTTCATAAGATGTATGTCTGTCTTTGAAATGTTTGTTAACGCTTCTACTTCCTATCCAAATTGAACGTTTAGGCTCCCATACTTTGTTTCAGGAGTTTTTGTTTTTATCAATATTTAACAATATATAATGTTATATTATTTACATTTTATCATTAAAATTCAGCATTGTTGTCTTTATTTGTCTTTTCAACTAAGGTTGTATTTCAGTGAAATTTACACACAACACAAAAACAACAACAACAAAAAACTGTTCGTACTTTTATATGACGAAATGGGTACTTAACGAAAGAAATCTCAGTTATTTTTGGACAGGTTAACAAGTGACATAATGCCATTAAAAAAATGAATTGGCACATGTTTTTTTTTTTGTTGTTTAACGCCGCAAATGTTGCATTTCACATTTACATATGTAGTTATCAGGTAAGTCAACAGTTTACACTGACATATACAGTTTTAAGGCAAGTAACCGTTTGACAGGGCATATTCACATACTTCACAAATTGTTATGGAGTTAATGTATTTCACGTTTTAACGTTTTATCACCAGAAAGCAAATTTATCTTCTTTCACCAGCCCAAAACAACGCTATCTATACCAACTTCCTTATCTGACCCCTGACATCGCTATGCAGGGGTCTTAGTCACGTGACTCTTAAAGACCATCTGCGCGGTTCCTGGAATTCCACGATTTCGATAATACGAGGTCACGTGACGAGTCACTCCAGAGGAACGGTAGCAAAGGGGAGCTCGGGTTCCATATAGCGAGAGTGACATCCAGGCATGAGAAATGGTACACATGTGCCAGTGTAATTCAAGTTGCAAGCCATGTCTTGCTCGTATAGATAAGATACAAACGGTATTCAGTCGTATGGAAGCCCTAACAAAGAAACACTGTAAAGTAATATGCCGGGATTTACCGATTTAACAAAAAAATATTAATAGCTCGTCAGGCATTTATTTAAAATATGCGTGTAATTATAACTGTGTAAGATACTGGAAAATATGTTGTATAAGTATAAATATTCTGTCGACATGTAAACAGATGCTAAATTTATTGAGAAGATTGCACAACGATGGAACGTTAATATGAAATATGTATGTAGACAATGAAACGCGTATGAAGAAAACACTTACAAAGTCAAAACAGCTATCAATAACTATGTTTGATATAAAAATAAAAACATGTCATAATTATACACATTTTATATGGACTAGCTGAAACTAGGACGTGTTTACATTTTGGCTACCTATAATGATCATCTGGGATCTATTTCAACTGCACTTTCAGAAGTGGATACGGTTTTACCCCAACAATATACTCCAATACACTAGTTACAAATTAAGTTACGTAAAACTGAGTACTTTTACCCAAAGGTCTATATGTAAAACCAATTTGAAACAGACAGTTCAAGTTGAAAATTGAGTTCGAGAGGGTGTACGGCAAGGAAACGATTTCGACCTTGAGTTTCTATGCTAATACTGAATTCCTCTTTCTCTCAACATGAAGATTTCTATCTTATGTTTAATTTGTTAATATGTTTAAAATGCTATATTTCTATTTGATGTTTAACATGTTAATATGTTTAAAATGTTTTTTCTACAGACATACATCATTTAGAGCTCTTCGTGATGATTTTCAGTTCCGATTTCGACTGCGTAGTTAGCGGCTTATATGTATACAGGCATCTTATTTTTAGTTTGCTGTTGTGTAGGATCCAGCCCGCATACTGGTACTAGTGTAGGAATCGACACCTTTGCTACTGCAGATATACAAGCTATTAATAGCCAGAAGGTTGCGCCGCTACTTACAAGGTGTCCATGAAAAAGATAAGATATTTTGTGGTATTGTTTGAGAACAGAAAATCATAGTGAAGTGATAACAATACGATACACGTTACTCAATATAATATACGTTATTTGCTATTAAATATATTATTTCATAAATTCAAATTATGTGACTATTGTGTTTAAACACTTACGCTCATGTGTGTATATTACCTTTGACTTGCATTTCAAGTGGATATACTCTAGCATCATTCGAAATTACGTGTCAGAACATCATTTTCTTCGAATGCATTTCGTGATAAAATAGCATCATACTTCGATAATATGAAGCAGTTACATTTAATCATTATACACTTACAAGGCTAACATAACAGAATAGAATATAAACCTATATCAAAGATGATCAACAGGAGGGAATATTATTTCCTGAAATCTGAGAATGTCAAACGCCGGTAGCATTGGAGGCGAAAAATGGCCGTATGGGCCCATTTTCCTGTTGCATTTAAACAACCGAGATAGTATTCCTAAAACGTAGATTCAATTAAAACTTACCTTTGCATGGTGGGCCCTCTGATCTCCCATAGGTTTTGCTTGGTTGGCCATGGTGGTCTTTTAAAACAAGAGGTCTATCCTAGAGACAGCTAAACCTTCGAATGTACACAGGAGTCTAGCTTTGCACACGGTCTTCAAGCAAGGCTACTGCGGCCGTCTGAACCTGTTGGATAGTGGGAAAGGAAGGGATGAGCAACACAAGCGCATCTCCGTGCTGCTGAAATGCTCTCTACTGTCGAGGTATTGGATTACGACCGCCACATGCCTTCGCCATATATGTCTACTGCGGCGAGCATGTGATGTACGTTCTCCAGTGAAATTTCAAGATGGCGGATGAGCAAAATTGGGCGAATAATGACGACTGCCGCATTGGATCGGGGTTGAATAGCATCGCAGTAGCATGTATGAATTAATATGATCAGTTTGATACTTTATCGTTGATACGATGCGTTGTATCATGATTACTTTAATAATTTTATCACCTGCAAATGCAAAGTTAATGAATTGACACGCTATGCTGAGTGAATATAATTTCGATTGATTGTTCTGCCAGGGTTCTTATCAGATATAGAATGCTTTTATGCATATTTGAATAACATGAACAACACGCGTTGGGAGAAGTCTCCTGAAAAAAGCAGTAAGTCGGTTTTCTTGAGTTCTACACAAGAAAAATGTCGCAGCGACACTGACCTCCGGTTGAAACATTACAGGTTTAACTTGCAGGCTTGTTGCATATTGAGGAACCCACACCTATATTGCTGCATCTGTCACCTACATGTACTTGCATATATATGACTCGAAGGTGTACATTCAGAGAGACAAAGCAACTATATATTTGAAATACAAATGTATGTATGTGTACGTATGTCTCCCTTCCTCTGTCTCTCTTTCTCTCTCCCTCTCTCTCCAAAAGTCCATAATGAGATACTCATATAATGATAATAAGAACAATAACCACAATGTGGATGATCATGATGATGATGAAGATAATAAATAATGACGCATTTAGAGAAAGTTACACAATCAAGACTAATTCCTGATTTCACATTTGCAAAGTATAATATCCCATTTTATTGTAATGCTTTTAACAGTGTCGAACTGAGAATGATATCCCATAACAATTTACTTCTCATAACAGTGTTGAACTAAGAATGATATTTCATTCTAATTGTTGAACCGTGTTGAACTAAAGAATTATATCTCATTATTATTTACTTCTCATTACAATGAATATTTCATTACAATTTACACGTGAAGATCCAGTAATCTATGCTTGTGGAAGAAGATTGGAATGGTGATCGTACACGTGAACGTGAAGAGTAGTTGTTGCTACTGATATTTGTGAAGATGGAGGAACATCCATCTCCAGAGGATCAAATAAGTTCTGGAGGTCTACTGATGTTTCAGTTGTATTGGGGATCTTCGCCTTAAGTTTCTTATTTTTCATTTTCTTTTGTGGGTTGGACCCGTGAAGGTCCGGGTTAGAATGAATCTTCCGTAACCCATGCTTGTCGTACGAGGCGACTAACGGGATGGGGTGGTCATGCTCGCTGACTTGGTTGACACATGTCATCGGTTCCAAATTGCGTAGATCGATGCTCATGCTGTTGATCACTGGATTGTCTGGTCCAGACTCTAATATTTACAGACCGCCGCCATATAGCTGGAATATTGCTGAGTGCGGCGTAAACTAAACTCACTCACTCACTCATTACAATTGTTTAACCAGTGTTTAACCAAAGAATGATATCTCATTACAATTTACATCTCATGTGTTGAACCAAATAATATGTCATTACATGTTAGTACAGAATGACATTATTTCTCAAATAAAGAAAATCAAAATCTTCATAATTTGCAATTTCTCATTTCTTTCGATGCCATAAACACTTGCAGACAAGTATAGAGTATGAACAATACATAGTTGACCAATTAATATCCCTCGTAACGTCTTTAAATGAAGCTTGTTGATGGCTTACCTGCACTTGGCAAGAGATACTCCAGTAAGTGATTTACCGTTTCACTGATTTACTGGTTTCAAGTCTGTCCAGAAACTGTCGGTTCCTAGTTTTATAACACCTAACATCCCCCCATACTCCTTCTCTTTGTCCGATACACGAAGCGGGGGAACCCCTGACTCATAGCCGGGCCAAAAATAACTTCTTGAAGTTGGTCATTGAGTCTGTTCTGTATAAGGAAGGCGTAAACATGTCTTCATTCTTGAGGGTATCTATCATGTCGTGTCTGCAGCCTAGCTCGTTTCGAAACATAAATGTAGATTAACATAGATATTGTCTATATGATCAATGCCAGACCTCTTCATAGTCATTGTCATGATTCCAGTGATGATGTCATTGTAAGAATTCCATACTAAAGGATGGACATAAAGTGTGTGTTCTGTCTGGCTCGAAGATGTGTATGTATGTACAATAAGCGTGTACTTCATCTGCAATGCATTCACATTCCTCCAGGTTATTTAGGTGTATCATGGACATAAAAACATTACAATTAAAATGTTGTTTATGTCACTTTTGATAAAACGGAAATAATAATTTATTTTTTTCTTTTGAAATCATTTTGTAAAATGCTGTATTATATACTGTGTGTCATTTTCAGTGATCCACTCACATAGAAGAAGAAGAGTTCTATATATAGAGTTTTTTTAAAGGCCGTTGAATCACTTCTGTTGGACAGTGAAGAAACGCGTTCTCTAACGGTCAAGATTTAATTCAAATAATTGACGTAGATGTGATCACGGTCTGAGTTGATATCTCCACTATCATTATTTCAGTACATGTTCCTCTGACAACTGTCAAGGTTCATCTTCAATTCCATGAAGTGAGAGTCGAATTTATGAGCTGGGTCTTCCATTCAAAAATCCATTTACAGAGTGTTTAAGCAGATGTGAATTGCTTTGCATGTCACTGAACCGCTTGTGTTCGTAATTAGAAACTGGATGTTTCCCGTTTTGAGACTCTAAACTTCTGCACGGATTGGTTGGGTTGAATTTCCACAATGAATACTTCTAAATATACCAGCGTGAAGCTAAATTTACTCACGAGGATTTTCTTGAACACTTCATTGTGAATGACTCATGTGTTCATACTTGTAGTTGTACCCTTCCTGCACTCGGCTTTATCTTAAGCGGAAGAGTACACATACCAAAGATTGTTCAACCTATATCCGTTCCAGCTTTCAGACAAGAAGGATTGGGAATATATCTTCATGCGCTTATACGGAGGAAAAGGATCAAATGGAACAGGTTTTACATTAAGTGCAATTTAGGGATTACATGTGTTTACATTTTTTAACTTAAAAATGCTTGACACTTTATTGCATTTACTGCAATAAGTGTAAAGGTATGCATTTACCTTTCAGTTTTCGTTGACAAAGCTCATATATTGCACTTATTACAACTGTATGTATTTTGCTGGACATTCAGTACTGACGTTTTGTAACATCACGAATGTGTAAGCAGGTATGTTGTAAACGGGATGGTACGCGTGGTAACTCTGTGAACACCTCAAGACGGAGGTTCCTATTCGTCAGTGTGTGCCTCGTTGCAATGTTTCTGCTTGCCATCTGGATTTAACGACACTTCTGTTACCATAGGCATCACTCAAAGAATGCACGAGGAATTGTTCGTGTGACACGGAGTTCTGGAAACAGTGTTCTTGATATGAAGTCATTGATTATTCGCTCACTTACAAGACAAGTTAACAGTCCATCCTTCCAACCTACATACCTAACTACCCACCCACATACATATATACATACATGCATAATTAATTATTTAGTGTTTAGACTGAATTGTAAGAAACCGAACACTTTCTGTGCTCCGTTGATGATTTGTTTAGACTTGACCCTCCTTTGACCGGATACTGACAATCTGGAACTTTTTACTGATGGAAATTAAGGTAAGGTTTGATTCAGAATGCTGTTTATTCCGATAACTGTTGCAGAATATCAGAATATTTAGTAGTACGTGGTGCAATTTTCAAAGAAGGCTTAAGAGTTTAGAGTTCAAGTAGATATTATATTATACAGAGAATGCATAAGGGAACAGGTGCTTGTAGTAGTGAGTACAATGAACTACGTTTGTACATGTTTATAACGAACTGTCCGTTATCACCGTTGGTTAATGTAATTTTGATGGTGCAAATTCAACTCAGTATCTTCCGGGGCGGTGGGGTAGCCTAGTGGTTAAAGCGTTAGCTCGTCACGCCGAAGGCCCGGGTTCGATTCCTCACATGGGTACAATGTGTGAAGCCCATTTCTGGTGTCTTTCTGTCGTGATATTGCTGAGTTATTGCTAAAAGCGGCGTAAAACCATACTCAGTCAGTCAGTCAGTGTCTTCCACTATTTGCAGTGTCTCAGTGCTATTACGTTGAAAGATACTTATTTTATATCAAGGTCAAGTCAAAGCGCTTTATTGTATTGTACAATAGAGAGTTTTACCTGTAGACAAAATCATAAATGTTGTACACAGGGATATACACGCTGTTTAAAATACTTCATTCTTATGTTGGCTAATAAGGTATTAGTATATTAGACCCGTTCCTTGTTTAATCTAAGGACAGTCTAGACTTGCTTCCCGTAGGGCTTTACTATTACAGAAATAGGAAAGGGCTAGGCGAAGTTATTTCTCCCGCTCTATTTTGTTGTTTGAGTAACTGACCTCTAATTTTTAAGGCCATGTCAGGCAACACAGAACTTTTAACTAAAGAATTAGCCTTGTTGCAATGCTGTACTAAATGTAGTCTGTTTCTCGGTCCTAGAACGCATTATATAGACTTCCATCCAGCCCTTCCAGTTAAAGTGTGGAATAATATTCCATTAGCTATTAGAAATTGCGACTCTGCTGTTCGTTTAAATCTTACATCCACGTGAAGGAAAAATGCGGCCTATATATTATTTCATTTGAAATAAGGAAGTTCAATGTTATGCACACTAGATTAAGATTTATGGCGAGGACACTTAATTATGATTTATTTAGAATAAATTTAAAAAATATGACGCATCGTGTCAGTGTGGCCATAGATGTAAGAAAGTTTTTCATAAATTCCTTGAATGTCCATTGCATACTATGCAAAGACATAAACTGTTACAATCTTTAGAAGATATTGTCAAAAATAGAACACTGATTGGTATTAATCTTATCTTACATGGCAATGCAGGTCTCCCAGTGACTTTTAGCAATATTCCA